TCCTAGAGAACAAGACACACGTGCTTTTATGTGCATTCAGTCGGAACCCGTTTTCTTCTGCCCAATTGCAGATTTTGTTCAAACCAAGCTGAATCTGCCGCTCACACATGGCCATATTACAAGACTTGAAACAAAGCTGGACGTCGTCTACATATATACAATAAAACATATTGTGAGGAATGGACAAGCGCAAAGAAGTCATTTTGATAATAAAAAGTGTGCAACTAAAAACACCACATTGCGGTACGCCTGTTTCTTGGACAAATGTTTGAGAGAGAATGCTGCCCACTCGAACGCTAAAATATCCGATTTGACAAGTAACATTCGATTATACTAAACATTCTGCTACGCATGCCAAGATGAGACATGTCTCTTAATAATTCAAAGCACCATGCTGTATCGTAGGTCTTTTCGATATCGAGGAACACAGAGAGAAAATATTGTTTGTGGACGAAAGCGTCTCTGATCTGTGCCTCAATAGGAACAAGGTGGTCGCTGGTGGATCTACCCTCTCAAACCCCGCACTGATATGGGTTGAGCAAATTGTTCGTTTCAAAGAAATGAATAAGTCCGCAGTTTATCATTTTTTGAACACTTTGCGCAAGCAGCTTGTAAGTGCAATGGGCCTATAACTCGAAGCTGAAGAAGGGTCCTTGCCCTCTTTCAAAATGGGAATAATATTAGCCTCTTTCCAGCAAGCAGGGATAGCGCCAGAGAACCTGATAGCATTGTACAAGCAAAGTAAGTTTTTTTGTGTTTCGATTGGCAGATTTTTTAACATTTCATACACCACTCGGTCAGAACCTGGGGCGGAATTACTGCAGGAGTTTAGTGATGTTTGGAGCTCAGCTAAGCTGAAAGCTTGGTTATATGCCTCGCATCTAGTACATTTATGTTCGAGTTTCTACTTTTCTAATCTTCTTCTGTATTTTTTTGAAAATCATCAGTATAGTGTGACGAGCTTGACTGCCGTTCGAAATGTGCACTAAGAAAGTTCGCCTGATCTTCCAAGGTGCCACCCTGTGTGTTTACAAGTGGGAGTGAGTGCACTTGTCTTCCTCCTACCCTACCAATCATGCTCCAGACTTAAGCCTCTTGTGTATATGAATTGATTTCTGATAAAAAGTTCTGCCAGCTTTCTCTTCTGGCTTGCCGACGCGTTTTCCTGCCTTGAGACTTTTTTTTGCCCCGCCGCGGTGGTCTAGTGGCTAAGGTACTCGGCTGCTGACTCGCAGGTCGCGGGTTCAAATCCCGGCTGCGGCGGCTGCATTTCCGATGGAGGCGGAAATGTTGTAGGCCCGTGTGCTCAGATTTGAGTGCACGTTAAAGAACCCCAGGTGGTCGAAATTTCCGGAGCCCTCCACTACGGCGTCTCTCATAATCATATGGTGGTTTTGGGACGTTAAACCCCACGAATCAATCAACCTTGAGACTTTATTTTCTTAAAGCTGTCAAAATTTTCGGCCGTTGGTGAGTTCCGAAGCAACCTCCATGCTTTGTTTTGCTGTTTGCGCGTGTTTCGGCACTCAGAGTTCTACCACGGCACACGTCGTTTTTCAGAGTGTCCATTCGTTTGTGGGATGCAATTTTGTTGCAGCATCAATCAAAAACGCTGTGAAGTAGTTGACAGAAGCATCGATGCTCAAACTACATATATCATTCCAACCTGAACGAGCGATGATATAAAACTTTGCCCAGTCGGCTCTGTTTGTGAGCCATTTGGGAACCCGTGGTGGACACTTAGTTGCTGTAATTGTGCTCAAACCTACGGGAAAGTGGTCACTTCCGTAGGGATTACTGATGACTTTCCACTAGAGTAGAGGCACAAGGGACGGAGATACCATGCTTAGGTCTATGGAGGAATAAGTTTTTATTGATTTATTGATTATTATGTGGGATTTAACGCCCCGAAACCCCCATTAGATTATGAAAGACGCCGTAGTGGAGGGCTCCGGAAATTTAGACCACCTGGGGTTCTCTAACGTGCACCCAAATCTGGGCGGATTCGATCCCGCAACCTGGGGGTCAGCAGCCGAGTACCTTAGCCACTAGACCACCGCGGCGGAGCGAGGAATAAGTGTTGTTAACAAGATTATAATAGGTTGTTTTTTTTTCAATTCAGAAGACATGCGCTTGCTAGAAGAGGAACTGTTCAATCAGTCCACCACGTGCGTCGCAACGAGAATCGTTCCATAGCTTGCTATGTGCATTCAAGGCTCCAATGAGAAGGTAAGCTTCTGGAAGTTCTTCAATTAATGATTGTAAATCGTGTTTTTGTGGCTGATAGCTTGGGGGAATGTAAATAGTGCAAATTGTGATCAGTTTATCAAAAAGAACAGCTCGAACAGCCACTGCCTCAAGGGACGTTTGGAGTTGTGTGTGCATGCGATCCCTTGATTGGCTATGATGACTACACCGCTGGACGGTGTCACGGTATCATCATGCTCCTTTCAAAAATAATGTAGTTGCATAGAAAGTCGGTGTGTCTTGGTTTTAAGTGTGTTTTTGTGCACACAGCACTTTTGGTGAGTGTTTGTCTAACAGTTCTTGGACATCGTCAAGATTCCTAGAAGGCCCCAGACGTTCCATTGTATAAATTGAGTGTTCCTGGTGAAAGTAAAGTAGGGCTGTGCGTACGAAGAGCGAGTGGCTGTTCAGGTGGGAAGTTTGAATTTAAGTAACAGGGCCGTCACCGGGCACCGTTATCTGTTTTTTTTTCCCTTGGGCGCTCCGAGGAGCCACGCTGCTCCCTTGGCACCAAAGGTACCGACGTATCCATTTCCTCCTCGGAGGCACTGGATGCCCGCACGGGCGAGCCGGTTGTTTGAAGTTCAAGCCTTCCTTGATGATGGGAGGCCTTGAGACCCGAACACCCTGGGGTGTCTGATCTCTGTTCGTATGTAGGCGGAGTATACTGAACTATTGCCGCCTTGGGGGCAGGTGCCACAGCCGACTGCTCGCTATGCGCAGGCCGAAGCAGTGGCCATATGATTTTGGGCCATAGAATGACGAGACCCTTCTTCTTGCTTCATTAAATGAGATGTTTTCCTTCACCTTCCGCGTGATGATCTCTTCTTCTTTTCTCTATAATTTACATGATCTTGAGTATGAGGCATGATTTTCATCACAGTTGACACAGTGTACCAGTTCTGTGCAGGTAACGGAGGTGTGAACCGAAACTCCACATTGTGCACAAGTTTTTCAGCCACGACAGCTTTGCGAGCCATGGCCTTATCCCTGACATTGAAAGCATCGTCGCGGATTAGGTAGGTATGGTCGAACACGATGCTTTGTGTGCCCTGTTGTGAGTGTTTCGGGAAGGATGCGGGAGCCAAAGGTAACGATTATATGTTTTGTTGAAGTCTCTTTGCCATTTCGCTTCATCTTGATTCTCTGTAGATTAAATACATTCTCTTTTTTCCAGCTGTTGAGAAGTTCGACATCTGTCAAGTCAAATAGGTCATCCTCCAATATGACTCCTCGGACCGTGTTCATCGAACGATGTGCTGAAACAGTGATGGGGACCTCACCAAAATTCTTCAAACTGGATAGTTTGTCGTATTGGTCCTTGTCCCGAACTTCAATGAGGAGGTCGCCACTGACCATTTTTGTGTGTTTGTACCCTGTTCCATGTGTGTCTATTAGCACCTTTAAATTAGGAACGGTGAAAGTTTTCGGACAGGTTTTGCTGGTGTGTCATTGGGGATAACGTGGTAGCGTGGAAAGTTGTTTTTGTTTAGTTGAAATAGCTGAAAGCTTGTATCAGTGCACGCACTCTTCAGGGAGCGATGAATAGATGGTTGGAAGTTTTTGGCCATAAAATATGGAGTGTGTTCAGTGGCGGTGGCAGCCACCCACCGCCAAGCCCATCGAGGAGACGCTGCAAGACATGAAGAAATTGCTTGCAGATGCCAGCTGTACATGTGAGGCAACCCAAGGTGGGGTGAACACACAAGGGTAACCCTTGCCGCCAGGAAGAAGCGGAAGTAAGCGGAAGAAGGAAGTCGACAGGACAGACTAAAAGTGACACATAAAGACAAAGTCATAGGGTAGACAGATAGGAAAAGGCGACTGCCGATTTCCCCTGGGTGGGTCAGTCCAGGGATGCCGTCTAGGTGAAGCCCAGGCCAAAAGAGTGTGTTGCCTCTGCCGGGGGGCCTTAAAAGTCCAATCACCCGAAGTCGGCTCAACTCCCCGGATCCCCTTTTCCCCGGACACGGCAAAGCCGCGCACGGCTAGGCGTGGGAGGGAGTCGAAACCACCCCTCTCCGGCTTGTGTCCGTGTTGTCGCTACACACCAAACGCCTGCTTACGCAGACGCCCCTGCAGGGGCTTGCCCGGGTACCCATGCAGTAGAGGGGGTTCCCCACCTATGTCTCGTCCGCATCTGCGTGCATAACTGTAGTGAAGGCGTAGTCCTCGCATTGCTGTAGCCAGGGAAGCCACTCGCCTGCATCGTCGAAGGAAAACGTAGGCAGGCTCCAGAGAATGGCTGGAGCGAAGGCGGGAACAGTAAGGCCGGGGAAGGCGGGGTGAGACCAGGAAGAGTGGTGACTGTATCGGTGGGAACGGGATCACCGTTGTTAGCCATGGCGAAAGGCAGGAACCAGAGACCCCACGTTTTCACCAGCAGCAGCAGCAGTCATTGCACACTGGCCTATGCATCATTTTTCCACGTGCAGAATTTGAAGCTTCGTCTGCATAACCCATACGTGCCGTTCAACAGGCTATCTTATCAAGCGAAGCAAATTTTCATCGAAAGCCACTCGATGACACTCGCTTGCCCCTGCATCTATACTTAAAGGAAGCCTTCACTGACCATCTAGTAGTACTTGCGCACGGCTTTGAGCCATCGTTCTGCTCGTACACGGAAACGTCAATTGCTTCCGAAGTTTTTTATTATCCTACTTCGGTCACAGCAGCTGTTAACTGTCTCTGTTACCTGTAGTAGCGTTTTGGTTTATTTATGGTACCTTGCGTAGTATAGTCAGACCACGATGTCCACCTAAAGTGCTAGGACACTCATATTTTTATATTAATAACTTCATTTTACAGAGTCGAGTATACAAAAAACTACTTGAACTCGCTTGTGGTTTCATTAGGACGTAATTAAACTTGCTTAGAAGGCTTTTTCACGGGGTTTGTTTTTATAACAGGCACTTGAACTATGTCCTGTTTCATCCACTTCGTTTCGTACCAACAAGGCTGCAAGGTGGGTCTTCCATCTACTCACAAAAAGTGTGCCATTGCTGTTTTTGGTGTGATTTTTCCTGAGACAAGAACCACCACAACAACCTTCCTACGCACATCGCCAGATAACGAACATACAGAGCTTCGAAACTGTGTTTTAGCTACTAGCGTGAGTAGTATTTTCACTACTCCTTTCTGTAGTACCTTCGGAAGCTTAAAGTGTTTTTAATAGATGAAAATATAAGTGCAAATTAGGTAAAGGTACGGGCTCGTAATATTTATCAAACTTCTGCATTAAGGGCAGCCACGACAACTTCCGGACAGTCTGCAAAGCTCCGTACATTGCTGCTTATTGAAAGAACCTAAATTATGTTGTCTTCAATTCACCAAATACTCTTAGTATTGACAAGCACTGAATCATGCACACACATCATATGTCAAACATTTAGACCCGCCGTTTTTTCGGCCGACAAAGTCTTGTGTTGCAGTTTATTTTGTCGTCTACTTGTAGCCCACAGCCAGCCAGTGAGCAGGACAGATGTGAAAACCATTCCTCCCATGAAGTGGAAAAGTCCACCGTATGATCCGTTCGCGTCCCGGAAATATCCTGCGCGGAATATAAAAAAACATTTCAGCGAATTTTTTCCATCACTACTTGTTTAAAAACATTTGTGAAAGATTCTATCGCATGGAGTTGTATCACTGAATGAGTTACCTTTTTTCGTCAGTGTAGTGTAATTGTTCAGATAATGTCAGATTCCTAAACTTCTAAATATACTTCAAAACATTTACCAAATAAAAGTTTACCGAATATGCTAAAAATGTCTAATTATAATTCGTCCAATGTTCTTTAGCTTTACAGCGCATTATTTATAGTCGAAACCAAGAAGTAATGGAGACAAACAGGGCATACCGTGTGTTGCCAATATAACTGTTAGTCATTAAAACTCCAGAAAAGGGCAAACGCTTGAGGAGGACAGTGAAAGTCAAGTCAACAGATAAGATTACGTCTGCGTGTACAACGTGGCACCAGCAAGTACAGGACCGAGTTGATTGCCGGAACATCCAGCAGGCCTTTGTCCTGCAGGGGGCACAGACAAGATGATGGTGAACATGCTAATTGTAATTATTAATTACTCCCTACTATGTGCCTAAGTATACGAGGGGTGTTGTTCTGTATGTTCTATTGTTAATCTTACATGATGCGTCGCTGGCATGGGCTGTTGAAAGAAGTACAATATATTTTTTTTAATACAAGGATAAAATACGAGCTGAAAGCGACAGACTTACAAAGAGGCAAAGCCAATGAGGCTTGTCAGGCATTTGTCTACAGTGTGGGTACACCATGTACTTTTGAAGAGCTAAAATCATGCGTAAAAACAACCAAATAACACTGCTTTACTAATTGGTGTGCGTGTGCTGAAGATGACATCATGTCACTAATTTTTTCTGACGTATAATAAAAAACAAAGTCCACCTTCACGCAAACTAACAAAATATCAACAAGTTCGCAGAAGTCATTAAATAGTCACCGGCATCTACCGAACACAGGCCAAAAAAGGAAAAAGCCCGACATAGACAGCATGCTTCGTCTTGTAACAGCGTGTGCCCCTCTACCCACTAAGGCTCAATGCTGACTTATGTGGCCACCATTTGTCCTCATTCTCCTCTAGTGATTAAAAAAGCTGTGCTATGTTTCTACATATGTGATATCCGAACAACTATGTAATTTTCCTGTGATTGAATATTTTACGGAAGTAAAATTTGATGATTGATGTACACTTCTTTTACGTTTTTTTTTTCATTGAACAGCATTAGTTTCAATGAAGGAGCACTCAGTCGTAATACGTTAGCACATTGGTGAGTCGGCATACGGCTTGTCGTTGTAAAAATCACAACGTCAAGAGCAACAATTTGCGTTGAGTGTTCTCAATCAGAACAGTGTTCTTGTACATCGCATGATGAGAGAACTGTACTAAAAGATCTCAAAACTTCGAAAACTCTAAAAAAGCAGCGTGTTTCAAGTGAAGCTCACCTTGTGACGAGGCCAGGAACACCACACAGTAAACAACGAAATCATCGCACAGTGCTTTAGCTAAGAGCGGTAGTGAGTAGTCTCCTCTGTTTCTATTTTATTTAGAACAGCACTTTTTTTCCAAAGTAACATGGACTCAGCAACGCTAACTCGTCTTTGTTCTACACATATGACAAAAAAAGGATCTTCAAAGAACAAGCTTTAACAAATGCAAACTCAAGATATCAGTTGTATTGTTCATACTGTGCTGAAAGGTATCGCTCTTGAATTGCAGTCCCGTACTTCTCGCTCAGCACTAGCACCCCACACTCTCCCCCCGTGACAGTATATATAGTACAAAGCATCAGATATGAGTGCGTCCTGCACCAGCCTTATATGATCGACATTTCTCAGGGCGTCATATGATCTCACACCCAAGCTAGGGTCACTTAGGAGATCTTCGGAAGAGGAGGATGAGCAGTGGCGAAAATGCACGTTATCGAGCGATGAAGAGGTACAAAATTGGCACGTTTGGTTCCTCCACCATATCAGTCAGCTTAACACGCAGGTAAAACGTGTCCTTACAGAAGTAATGGAATGTCCTCTGTGCATTGACATAAGAGCGCTTGCACAATGTCTGTTGCTGTCTGGCAGCTCTATAGTATACTATTTAACGTGTATTCACCACCCAGGTTGACTCCCACTGGTATACATCTCCATGCCGGCGACTAGTGTCCATGGCCCACGATTAGAGAAAACCTAGTGATGGCTAAAGTCGTTAACGGTTAGAGCGCAATCAGAGGAAGTGGTGTGACTGCCGGAAGAGCGTCGCTAATTAGACGCAGCACTTTAAAGCCAGTGCAACGAGGAAAGCACCGTGACTATCTGGCCCGCCGCCATACAGGGTCCAGCAGCACTGAAGCTGCGATGGCTCTCTGCAGATTTTATGTGGAGTGACGCAGTTTTTGCACATCGTGGGTGCTTTTGCAGCCTTCAATGAAGCACATCGTTGTTCTTTAGCTGCCTAAGAAGCAAACAGTGGCAGTCTCACTTTCCCACCCACGCTTGGACGCGTTCTAGCATGACAACAAAGGGCGAACTGCGCGGCATTTCGGCGCTGGTATTCGTATGTGGGATTTAACGTCCCAAAACCACCGTATGATTATGAGAGACACCGTAGTGAAGGGCTCCGGAAATTTTGACCAGCTGGGGCTCTTTAACGTGCACCCAACTCGGAGCACACGGGCCTACAGCCTTCTCGCGGACATCGAAAACGCAGCTGCTGCAGCCGGTATTCGATCCCGCATCTTTGGGTCAGCAGCCGAGTACAGTAGCCACTACAGTACCGTGGCGAGGCGTCTCGGCGCTCAGCTGCAAGCCTTTAATCAATGCGAAACATTTCTTGACGTCTTCTGATCTATCTATTTATTTATCTATCTATCTATCTATCTATCTATCTATCTATCTATCTATCTATCTATCTATCTATCTATCTATCTATCTATCTGCCTGTCTGCCTGCCTGCCTGCCTGCCTGCCTGCCTGCCTGCCTGCCTGCCTGCCTGCCTGCCTGCCTGCGATAGCACAAGAACTGGTATGGTATAACATGACCACCCGGCCCATATAGGTGGTAATTTATAACGTGAAAAATTATTGCGCCTATGGGATGAACCACACAACTTACACATTACCGCTTTCGTGCTCTTGCAGCCGCTTCGTTCACTTTATATATACCACATGCAGTTATTATGGCAACGTGACAAAAGTGCACAAAAACGCAAGTCTTAAAATGCAAATTATGTCAGCGTGACATATACAACATTATTTTAAGACCTGGTCTCAGGGTTGTCGCGATAAAATAATTAAACGAGTGTGTGCCAAAATCACCATGACGAGATGTATGTGCATAATAAAAGTAAATTACAGGTATACAGTAGCACGAAAACCATGACTTGCTTGTCACGTACGGCATGGTCGACTTACTAACTACCACGCTCGTGGCGTGCCGGCGGCCGGTTGGTAATTTGATACACACCGATACTTATATTGCATGACGAGACTGTATGATGAACACAGAAGATTCAAACACAAAAATTATATCATGCATATCATGTATTACATGATCTAAACGCCACGCTCATGGTGTGCTCGCGGCGAGTTGGCTATCTGGATATACCCCACAAATGGTATTGTGTCATGTGACTGTATGACGAACAGGAAGAAATGGTGGTAACATTAAAATAACGGCATGTGGGACGTACTTTGCATGGCTCACGTGTCATGCATATAGTGCGCTCGTTGTCGTTTCTCTAGCTTAGTATATACCAAGATTGCTATCACGGGCAATATCTTTATGACGAACAGGTATGACAGGGTGTAGACAATGAACATGTCATGTTTTCTTGTTCTAACCTATCATTTATGTTTTTAATTCATTAACACCACGCCATACCAATTTTGATGTATACCAAGATAGCGGCGTGGCCCCGAGAACACCATAAGCACGCTGGAGAAATCATGGCTTACATGACGTACTTGTCATATTTTCCTGTTACAACCTGTTATTTATGTTTGTCATACAAGTACGTCATGCATTACCAAATTAGGTGTATGTAAAACCAGCAAACCTGCCGCAAACTTGCCAATATCATGGCGTGTAAATCACGCTTACACTGACATGCATGTTATAATGTTCATGTTAGCACTTATTATTCGTTTTCGTCATACAGTAACCCCACGCGCTACAATTTTTTCGAGAATATCAGGAAAGCCAACCGACAGCAAGAACACCATGAGCGTGGTGTTTAAATCTTGTTGTACATGAAAGTAAACTTATAATGTTCATGTTTTCGCCTTTTACTCGTGTTCGCGTTATGTCGCCTCACAAAGTAGTGATTTTGGTAAAAATAAAACAAGCCAATCGACCACGAGCCCATCCTGAGTGCCGAATATAAATCATGCTGTACGTAAAATGCATCCTATGCCTTCATGTTACCACCTGTCATTAGTGTTTGTAATATAGATATCTCTCGTCGTAGAAAATTCAGCAGTTATCCATTTAAACAAACGGCCACGAATGCGCCAAAACACTAGTGAAGCGTGTGAGATGGACCATTTGTGTGACGCCCAAAGCGCGCGGCGGCGACAGAAAACGACACGCAGTACACTCACCATTCCAGTAACTTTAGCTGAACTTCGGCTAAAGTCGCCATCCAGCAGCATGTTAATGAGGTACTGAACACCACGGTCGGTGTAGAAGGGAACGGAACGCATGTCGTATGTCCTCTTTTGCCCGACGGCGATTCGTCTCGGGGCGAGTGTTTGTGGGGAATGCGGTGTTACAGCCAGACGATGTAAAGACGCATCGTGGAGTTATTCGAAATTTTTTGTCTGCCCTGTGCAATGCTATAAGCAAAATACTACGCGTGTTCCAGAATATCTTGTGTGAGCTGCCTGGGCGTGCGCCTGGAAAACATGGCCACGCCACTGAAAGTGGTGTCCTCCACTTCAAATCTATCGAGTGGCCGCTGTTTCAAAGAGATGCTTCTGTTTGCTTACGATTCCTGTCCGCAAGCTTTGACAGTAAAGTATTTGCGTTGGTTGGGCATCGTTTTTGAGCGGTTAAGTGAAATAAGTAGTGTTGTAGACTTAGTCAATGGCGCTGCCAAAATTTCAGAGGTCGTGGATTACCTATTTGCTAGTTGTCTTCTCTCTTCTATAGATGGCGCCAGTGGACGTGGTGGTAGCTATGAGACACGCTATTCGGTAATACGACACGTCCTTGCGTTACCAGAATATTGGACAGACTAAGAACCTGTATTTTGAATAAGGGTTATTACTATGACCGAGGCCGAGGCTTGGGCTGACGTCACCACGTCGTGGTGTGTTAAGGCGTTCATGGCATTGCACTTCTCGTATTGAAAACACGTCGAATAAAACGAACGGCTAGCAACGACGTGTTGCAGGAGCTAGTCACGGAGGCCACAGTCATTATACATTACTTCACTTTATACCACTCCCAGACGACGACAACATGCACTCCGTCGAGCAACAGCATTGTGACAGGAAAGTATATGATAAAAAAGGCGCGTTTGTATGGTCTCCTGAGTGCGCGACCATGGGGCCGTGCATAGCGTGCCCGACATCAATTGTTATGGACCGTGAGGGTCTGGGCTTGACCGATAGATGATCCTTTTTTCTCCATCTGACTGTGCGTATTTTTGTACGTCATTTCCGTGACGAAAATGCCTCTCTGAACGTTTTTGAGTTTTTGAAAAACTTTAGAGACGTCGGAATGGCTATTCAATGAATGAGGCAGTAGCAGCAGTACCATTTGCAATAACGTTCGCAGATGGCAGACCTAGGGGTGACGTGCATCCGATTTCTACTGTAAACGAGGTATCTCTCGACAAACCTCTCGCTTAGAGTTGCATCGCTATGTCTCCCGCGCAACTGTTGCTACTTGCGGACACGCATGTGGGTGTGCTTATTCTTTGAAGTGACTAGCATTTCGCTGAAGCTTTTTCGTCGTTGTTGCGAAGACTTGTGGTGGGCGTGGAACGAAACATGGTATCAGCTCGCTGATACACTTGAGTAACGTTAGCAGCAGGAACTCAATGGTGTGAGCTTCGCGCCATCTTGCGGGCACTGTGTAAATAGTTGTTCCGGGTCGCTACGCAGTTTAGAGACTCTAGAATAACCGTGGCAAATCTTGAAGGTCAAATTGACACAGCCAGGTGTTTTCTACGTTTCTACCTGAAAAAGGAGAGGGTCTAGCACCTACACTCGAAACTGACCAGAAATGCCTGAAGGGCCTAAAGAACATACAAAGTTTTCAAAAAGGCGCACTGCGCGTGTGGTCAGCAATATTCAAGCATGATACTAACACAAACAGTTTATACTTCCTCGTCTAAAAAATAGAATTTTGATGAATTGCCACTTAACTTCGTAGTCTACACAACTGTATGTGCACTCAAAACAATTACCAGATAGGGACCGTACTTATTGAAAAGGAGTTCACCAAAGAATAAGGATGGACTGGACTGCATGCATCAGGCATTTTTGAATTGCGATAGGAAATTTAGCACTGTCCGCAAAGGTATAAGCAGACAATTATTACACAATTTTAGTTTTAACATTTTGGGGGTTGAATCTGGACAGACAACAAAAAATAAAAAAGCAAACGTTAGGGATCACGTCACATCTGACTAATCGAGAAGTAGAAGGCGTAACTGCAAGAGAGTGGAAGATAGAAACGCATATTTTGTACTTCACATTAAACCCAACAAATAGATCTTCATCATCATCATCAGCCTGACTACGTCCACTGCAGGACAAAGGCCTCTCCCATGTTCCGCCAGTTAACCCGGTCCTGTGCTTGCTGCTTCCAATTTATACCCGCAAACTTCTTAATCTCATCTGCCCACCTAACCTTCTGTCTCCCCCTAACCCGCTTCCCTTCTCTGGGAATCCAGTCAGTTACCCTTAATGACCAGCGGTTATCCTGTCTACGCGCTACATGCCCTGCCCATGTCCATTTCTTCTTCTTGATTTCAGCTATGATATCCTTAACCCCCGTTTGTTCCCTAATCCACTCTGCTCTCTTCTTGTCTCTTAAGGTTACACCTACCAATTTTCTTTCCATTGCTCGCATTGTCAGCTTAAATTGAAGACGACGCAGCGAGCGAGCAAATAGATCTTGACCTACCGTAATGTAAAGGACATGCAGCCGGTGGCCTCTTCGAGCAACTAAATGGGCGTCAAGGGTTTACAACAGCAGTGAAGTAGATGAATTCACAAGATTGGAAGTTTCGAAGCGATATATTGAAATCAGCCCTATCTAGAGGTGGAGCAGAGATGCCTTAATGCTTCGAAGGGCAGAGGCTAGTGGCAATTAATTACTGAAGGTTCTCGCTTGAATAGCAACCCATTTATGCCCATATTTTTCCATCATTTGAAGCGTTTTAACAACGCTGTTATAATGCGTGGAAACAAAACGGTGTCGGTGGGTTGTCGTAAATTACTGTTCATCACTGTCGTGTTAAGCTGCACCATGTGAACGCAAATAAATTGTATGGTACCTGCAATATAAACTAAAATGGAGTTCGAAAACATTAGCGCAGCGTACGACTGTTTACTTTTCACGCTTCCGGGCTACAAGACTCACGAAGGCAACTTGCTTCCTTGTTTTTCATGAACTTAATCAAATGGTGGTTTTCCCATGCTATGCGAGAATTGAATGCGCCGCCTCTTTTTAAGAGTTTTTCTATGGGGAGTTGACAGCAACGCATTATCAACTGGTTACTTTCGCACACATAAACACCCAGAAAAGAAATTCTAAATTGTGTGCAAATATCGTTCAATTGCGTTTAATTGTATGACTACGTTTCTCCAGTAGAATGGAATCTGGTTTTGAATGAACACTGCGGCGAGTGTTTTATAAACAGTGATGTCATGCAATTTACAGCCTGATACGCCAGGCGCGATGCACATGCACATGCGTTTGTTATGGTTCAAGCTGTTAAATAAGCAAACATGATTCTTTTCTTCCAAAATTATTTTTGTTTCCCTTAGAAACGGGTCTTCTGGTACGAAGCGATGCATATCTGAAAACATAAATGTAGCAGCTGCCCTTTTCATTCATAATCCAATAGGCTCTTTCGCCTTCACAAATGTTTCGATCATTTCAGTGATAAAAAACTTTATGGCTGGTTTTCTGTGCCTATGTGGCTTATGGAGACGCCCACCAAGCAATACATTCGGAATAAATCGGTGGTCATAATCAATATTCTGTGAAATGCACGAGGTTTTTTCGATGCGAGAACGATACAGGGAACTTGACTGGATATGGCACTCCTTCTGCACAGTGATAATCTCGTGTAGCTTTTGAATAATAATAGGCCGAAATCACCGTACACTCGCCGTAAATCTAGTCAGTCACAGCAAGGTTCCTGCTTAAACCTTGTGACACTCGAAGAATCTGCCAATCAGTGATTTCCTAAAAATGTCAGAGAATACTGAGAGTTACCTTTTGGTACACAAACTAACTACATTAGTATTCTCTACTCACCTATGACTGGCGGCCTCATGAATGCCCCCAGAGCTGTCACTGATGCTACAAAACCGTAAGCCATGGGGAGGTTCCGCACACCAACGTCGCATGCAATAGTTTGAGACATGGCAACCATTACGTAGCCAACTGGAAGTCCAAGGTTTACAACTAGTATCCAGAACACAACGTCACTTTGGGCATATGGCATCGTCGTGCCGATAAGGACCATGACGAGATAAGAGAGTGTCGTGACGCCAAGAGGAGTTGCGATCTTGTAATCGGTGATCAGCGGTATCAGCAGCCGTCCCGCCAGGTCGGTCAAGGAGAAAAATGTTAGTACGTGCGCAGCATCTTCTTTGCTAATCCCGTTGTCCACTGCGCAGTCAACGGCCACAGCCAGAAACGTATCCAAGAAGAAACAGAAAGAGAAGTAGCTAAACATGTGCGCGTAAAACCGTCGCGTAGACAGGACCTCCTTAGCGCTACGCAAAAGAGATCGTGTACGGATTTCCTTCACTGAATATTGAAAATCACATACTTCTTCCAATGACTTGAGCGTATGATCACAATAATCACTCTTCAAGGGGACTGTCTCATCTTCCATACCTTTCCTACCTGCCTCCGGGGGCTCAGCAGAGCCCGTGAAAGTCAGCATCGTATTTTTCAATGATGTCATTTTCATGCAGTCTGTCGTCCTTTTCATAACTTTCAGAGGTAAATTTTCCGCAGAAATGTTTGCTTCTGCCCTGTGCAGCTCCGGTGAGCCCACATTTTGTTGAAAAATTTCTTCCAAGCACTCATTTTTACATGAGCAGTTCACACAGACACAACGCGGTTCTCGACCTTCCCTCATATATGGCACATCAACACTGTTTCGTTTAAGCAACTTCCAAGACAGCTCTTCTCTCTTTTCGGCGCACATAACGCTTGTGTCTGAGGCCTCGAACATGTGTGGTATCCCGTGTGAATTACTTAAAGGTTTTTCATAATTAGGCCTCACGGATAGGGGATACCTAGACAGCTTGATTATTGTCGATCTATTCGTTGATGTAAATAGAACGTTGTCGTCACACGAAGAATCGTCCTGGTCGTTGCTAATGCCGACAAGAGGTCGCAAAGTTGATGCCACGTAATCACTATAGTGACTCGCTTTTTTTTCTTGTGCGTCGTCTCCATCAATGACTCGGTTCCTGGAGAAGTCAGATATTTTGGAGTACTGTTCCTGCATCCACGGCGGCTTGCGAAAAAAGAGGCTGATTGGTAGAACATTCAACAACAGTGCTCCCACAAGTGCAAATGTTCCGTGCAGGCTGTACTCGGTGAGACAGTAATCGAAAATTATCGGGAAAATGAAGGAAGCTGCAGGGGCACCAGCCATGTTGATACCAAGGGCAGTGCCACGTCTCTTGTCGAAGTACTCGTTCACAGCGACGATAACACAGGACAGCAGGATTCCATGTCCTGAGCCTGCAAGTGAAGCAAAAGTACTGAAATTCTGCACCTGCGTCATTACCCAAACTACTCCAAGCTTCGGGTATGCAATTATGTGTTTTCTATATGCCGACTACTTGTGCCGGTTACAAATAAATTGTCTGGTGGACCAATCTCATAATTATTGCAATACTGAAAAAGCAAGATCTGACCGACTCAAATAAAGAGGAGAAAGGGGAACACCTAATGTAGTAAGGGTATTCTAAAACAACAGTAGCTCAGAAGAAGATGAAGGCTTCAAGAAAATAAAATTTGTGAGCTCAGAGTGTCTCTGGAGACAGCGCCTTGGCAAGGGGACTAGTCTTGAATGTTGGAGCCTTGAAGAAGAACAAGTCCACCTCCTGAATGTTATGCGCCAGTGACACACCGTAATGACGATTTCAGATACACTTAAGGGTGTGCTAAATGATTCGACTGATTAGACATAATATTCAGTGCACAAGATTAAACCAATGTGTATTTAAGTATATTGCGTGGCAGAAGCGTACAATTGCCCAGGCGTCAAAAATCGCGAAGTCAGCAACGAGTACTTTTTTATGTAGTTGCATCATCATTGAATAAAGATTGAATCGAAACAAGTCAATTAGGGAAATAAAATGCTAAGTTGAAGTAAAGCTTTTAAAGGTGAATTACATGACTTCACACCTCGACGCCCATATATCAGCATCTATACTGATGTATTGGTGAAGGTTAAGCAAATAAACGAGTGCAGTCTACTGCCATCACACAGACTCCTTAAATGGGGCTTCTTTGGACATCTCCTGTCCTCGGCATTATACAGGCAAAAGTGGTGTAAATTTCTCTGTAGTACAGATAAATATAAACAAAAACGTAATTCTAATTGTAATATTTACCCATCGATACATCACTCCAACAAAAATGATTAGTGTTCTTTACGTTGAGTCTTCATTGAAGTTAACCGTATATAACCTTCCTTAAAGTCGTACGCGTACTGTGGTACACCTACCACGACTATCCAACAAGAGTATCAACAACTTCGAAAGAGAGTTCACATTCTCCTTGAAGATAGTCACACGCCTTGAATGTCAGGCCATTCATGACATTCAGGATCGAAGCTCCTTAAGGCCAAGGCGTGTCCGTTGGCAGCGTTGGTGATCGCCATAGCCCAGCACGATGACGATGATGCTGAAGACGATGAAAGAGAAGCGAGTTCCATACCACAGATTCTCTTTCTGCCATCACGGTGCAAAACATGCAAGGTACCCACTACACGCCATGACGATGACAATGATGGTGATGACGGTGATGATCACAGAGAACGACTAGCTTGTGCAGTAAATTAAGTCGCAAAATGCTCTACTATACATCTCTATTACTGGAAACAGCCAACAATGACAAGGAGAACGTGCATAGACCTTGTTTTTGCCAACTTCAGGCAAGATATGATACCACAAAGCAGCTATACTGATGGCAACTCGAAATTCACAACTCAATACATCATGCCAATTATGATGAATAAACATTGTATTTAAATGTGCAACGCTGGGCACTCGTTCACATGCGAAAGTAGTCAATGTCACGGATGATTCACGGTGCCACCGAGTAACACCAAACGATCCCAGTGCTTCCCCAGCTGATCATCATTGACCTCGTAGATATGTTTTCTCTTTCTTAGAATGAGCGTCATCCTTTAATGTTGAGTGCTTCCCCTCTTACGAAGATTTCGGATCCCGACACAAACTCACAATTTCAACGCATGACACGACCGCATCGGTGGCACAAAGAGAAAGCATGTCTGACTTCTTTTCACTTGAAATGGTTAACGAAAATATACCTGTGACGACGCCGACGGATACAACGAGGAACGGTATTCCAGTAGCAAATGCTGACGCAAGACAACCTGCTGACATGAGGAGTCCGCCGAGTGCGACGCTGATCCTCATGCCGAACGAGTGTATCAGGACGCCGGCTACGAGACCTGCACATATTTGGATAGCATGAAATGAAGTATCTTAATGTGAACCTAGTTCTGTAGTTCCTTATTTCAATAACTGAGCATATAAAATTAAAATATTTTCTAATATTCACAAGCAGCCTTTTCTTCTTATAAATCATGCTCATGAAGCTGCTAAAATATTCCAGTCACAAACGTATTAAGTTTTTGTCGTACGTTCGGTTGATTTGTGCTCAAATGTTTCTGTAGGGCTGTTACCTCGCATAAACTAACAACCCTCTTGTGTCTCTGGTTCACTCAGCCTTGCTGCGATGAACTCGACACGTGCGTGGTTAATCTCCCTGCTGTTTCTCATTCGTTTATGTCTGATTATGTTCTAGCTAGGCCAAGAGCACCTTAACTGTAAGTTCCACAACAAAACAGAAAGTGCGCGAATAAAGCGGCTCGTAAGGAAGAAGAGAGGAAGGACAGAAGGGAAATAAAAGGCAGGGATGTCAGCCAGCCTAGAATGACCGGTATACTACGCTACACTGGGAACAGGGATCAGGGAGTTTAGAAGATGAAAAGAGGGAGAAAAAGGAGAGCACGCACACTCAAACTTTCATGTCAAAGTCATCATAACACTATTAGAATAACCGCCGGTCCAAGTCTGTTGCCTTCAAGAAGCTGAGGACTGCTTCCGTCGCCTTCACTCGCGATGACCGCTCTGGATGACATTCCAGAATGGTGTCTGCAGTCATCGTCTACAATCTATGTCAGCTAGAGCGGCTGCTAGAGATGTTATCTGCGCATTGTAGCGAAGACAATTGCACAAGATGTGTTCTAGTATCTGCTCGCTACGACAGTTGTCGCAGAAGGGGCTGTGAGCAATTTCGATGCGAAATGAAAGTCACTTGGTGAAGGCCACTCTTAGCTATAAATGGCAAAGTATAGTGGCATCATTTCGGCGTAGCCTAGTAGTCGTCTGTAGCCCTAAAGGGCTTGGACTATACTGAATTTGATTGCGCAATATTTTAAGTGTAGAGAGTGTTTTTTCTTGCAGCCACTCAAAATTGGCTGGCAGCGCCGATCCGTAATAACGGTATTGTCTCTAAGCAGTTGCCTTGAAGCGATGATCGAGCAGTATTTTTAGCGCTTTCATTGCCTATCACGCTACAGTGACTTGGCAGCCACTGAAATGTGACGTGGTAACCTTTTTCAAACACAGTATGGAGAAGATATCCACCCTCAAAGACCAAATGTTCATGTGTTCCATGCTGCAAGGCTGATAGTGAAGATTGCAGAGCTGCCTTCGAATCAATGAAAACTGACCAACGTTGAGGTTGTTCGCGGTTGACTACGTGAAGTGCAGCGCAAAGATCAGCGAGCTTCGCAGCCGTCGATGACGTTAGGTGGTCTGTCTTGAAACTGAAAGTAATATATATAACACAGGGACGACCACTGTTTCATAAGAACACTGCAGAGTGGTTGATGCACCAGAATAAACATGTACGTGATTGGCGTTCTTGTCAATCAAAAGCATTAGGAATAGCTGTTTTAGCACTGGTTATGCAAAATCAGTTTTTTTCTGATTCAGGGTCGATGAGGTGCCCTTCAGGCTGAATAAAGCATCATGGTGGTATCAATGGCTTATATGCGCGGTTGAAGCCTGATCGAAGATGGGTGGCATAGTTAGACATCGTTACACCATACGCCACCCTTAATCTCTCTGAAGGCAGTGTTGCAAGGTGTTGGCAATGGGCCAGGAAAAAATGCCTCGTGCTCTCGAGGGTTTCACCACAATGTGCGTTTGTACTGGATGGTCCCGTGCAATGGAAATAGTCACTTCAGTCAACGTGCATTTTGGCAAGCCAAGGCAGACTCTGAGAGCCTGAGTTTATACAGCCTGCATTGCGTGAATATTAAACTTGCAAGTATTAGTTAGTACAGGCAGAGAAACCAAGAAACAATGATCCATACAGTTACAGCATTGATTCTACCGACTTGCCCCAGGTTTTCCCGTTCAGTAACTTGAACACCTGAGAGATTGCTGCCAGGCGCTGTTTCAAGTGAAACACATGTGGACTCCACCGAAGGTTTCTGTCTATGACTACACCCAGAAAATTGTGGGTTCGCGCAGAGGAAACAGTCCGTCCTTCAGTAGGAATGGAAATGTGTGTCAATGCTTTACGTGTAAATGCCACTAATGCGCATTTTTCCGGGGATATTTCGAGGTCTCGCTTGCCGAGGTAGCTCGCCGTCAAACTGGTAGCTTTTCAAAGCCCCGCTCGTATCTGAAGGCGTTTGACAGCTTATGTCCAGGCGCATATGCAATCTGCGTATATGGATATCGCGATCGTACATGGCAAGTACTCGACCAGCTCTATGCGAGCGACTTTGAATAGAACGGGGCTTAGCATTCTCCCTTAAGGAACGCCCCGGCTAGTATAGTATCGTGTGGTTGGGCCGTCATTGTTTAACACAAAGAATGATGATCTTGACGCCAAGTAGCTGGTGATCCATCGAAAAACTCGACCACTCAGGCCGACCATATCAAGTACATTTAAAATGGCCTCGTATAGCACGGTATCATATGCTTCTTTCACGTCAAGGAACACGGCTGCAGACTAACGCTGCCGTGATTTATGCTAAAGGGCGCATGTAACCAGATCAATATTATTATCGATAGGTGAGCAATCGCGCCAAAAGCCAGCCCTGGAGTTTGGACAAATTTTGTAATGTTCAAGGTACCTTTCATGGCAGCTAAGGACCATCCTTTCTATTATCTTTCCCAAGCAGCTGGCCAATGCAATAGGCTGGTGCAAGGAGAGTCCTAGTGGGGACTGGCCTGGCTTCAGAAGTGCTACTAGACGACTTGTTTTCCATCCGTGGGGACACTTCCTTCTTGTCAAGATGCGTTGTATACACGTAGTAGCTTTCCCCACGCAGTCTCACCCAGATTGAACAGGGCTCGACAAGGGGTATGTCATCTGGCCCTGGTGATGAGGAATGCCTGCACAGGGCTAGTGCCGCTTCAAGCTCCTTCATTGAGAAAAAAAGGTCCATGCGGCCGTCACCGGAATAAGAAATGTCATATACAGCCAGAGAATCTGGACAAGCCATTTGCTCTGCTGTCCTCGCGCATAATTCTTCCGCGATATTGATGTTTCACCGCTATCGAAAAAGCGCCAGTACCATGAACGGAAAACGCTGTTCATGAATGCAGTGAAGCCCGCGCACTGATCTCCACATGTGGGATTAGATGCTTACGGAAGTCTAGCATTTTACAAAACGATATCCAGCGTTCAAAGGCATGCGACGCTGAATCTTCTTCTGCATTCTGTGAGCTGTTCTAAGCTCGTGAGTAGACTTTGTGCGCCGCTATCTGCAATCCGCGTGGTGCCGAAGCGCTTGGAGTCTTTGCGATTCGATATAAAAATTGTTGCGCCTGGACGTAATCGGGATCATGTACGCAGAATCTCTCATTGTGGACTTGATCACTTGTTTCAACCCAGTGCGTACACCCACTTGACAAGCTTTTTTTGTGTTATACTTAAAAGTGGTCCAGTCAGTTCTTTGGATGGTTTTCTCTGGAGCAGAGTTGGACAGCCCTTTGATGCGAAGATGTGTACAAATATGGTCATTCCGTGTGTCTCAATATCAAAAGACCACTTTATCTTTCGGGCAAACGAGTTGGAAACAAAAGCGAGATCCAGGCAGCTGCCATATGCCATACCTCGAAGAAAAGTGAGGCGGTCGTCATTCATGAGAGTGAGGTCACGATTCCAAGTGGTACTTGCTGATCGGCGCCCTCTTGCCTTTGTCCTTGTGCTCCTCCATGCCAGGTGATGTGCATTGAAGTCTCCTACGATGATCCGTGGAGCCAAACCGCTAGTAAAGAGAATAACTAACCTTCTTGAGTCAATGTTACTTGAAGGCAATAAATAAACGCTATGAGAGAGCAAATCAGTTTTTTCTAAATTGCCAGGCAAACATATTGATTGTCATCATGAGGGGCAATTGGATGAAGCAAATAAGTGAGTTCTAGACGAACATAAACAATGACCTTGCTGCATGCTCTGTTTGTCGAGGATTTTATAGCTTCGTACTCCAATAGTTTCACAGCTTTAACACATTGGGCTCAAAAATGATGATAACTGGGAACATGTTGACGCACACCAACTGACGAAAGTCCGAAAGACGCACTGCTAGTCCTCTGGCGTTCCACTGGTTTAAGGATGCTGCCTCGACTTATTCTCGAAAATGATAGTGATCGTTAGCCATGATTCTACTCAAGTGACTCAAATACTGGGCTTAAGTCGTCCAGTACTTTGAGTGTGCTTGGAGCACACGTTGTTCTCACGCCAGAAAAGATATATCAAACGGGGTCCATGAAAGAACGAAGCATAGTAACGATTTTGCGATTCGCTTTGAGTGTGTCACCAGTGGTCAGTGAAGACCCCAGAGTGTGCTAATATTCACAGGTTCCACGGCTAGGGGACGACAAAGAAGAATTGGCCATTCCTCTGTAGATATATTCTTCTCTGCAACCTTCTTTGAATTAGTCAGTTATTTTGTGGCTTGACTGAGTGGTGAAGCAGTAGTGGCCACGCTGTCCTTTCCAGCTTGCGCCATCTTTGAGGTCGAACGATGGCGCCGACACCGCTGCCGACGCTGGACTGCTTCCGCAGCCTCCCTGTGGGTAAATTGTCACTGACCATTTTCTTAAGCACCGCACGCTCCTTCGTAATTCGAGGGCAGTCTTTCGATGAGGCAGCGTGTGAGCCATTGCAGTTGCCGCTTTACGAAATGTTCATTGACAGGTATCTTCCAAATGCGGTTCTTCGCGACGGGGGCACCGTAGCGAATTCGGGAACATGCCTTCTATGTGACCTAGCTTAAAGCAGCAGTGACGCTGAAGTGGTTTTTGCACAAGTGGCTGAACAGGAAGCCGAAAGTAGCTGACTTTGACATTGGATGGTGCGCAAAAGCAATAGAAGACCAGCTTCACACAGCGCGACTTCCCAAGGCGGTGCATCTGAGTGATGACAGACCCTGATTTGCCCGTTCATTGAAGGTACGCAAGTCAGCGTCGGTAATCGTAATGTCCACATCGTATATCAGACTGGCAATGGAGGCGTTGTTAATCGGTATAAATGAGCGCACTTTGATGCCGCCTAGCTCAGTGACTTGTTTGAGTGGTCCTAGCGCATTCACGTTAAATACGTCTATGGCGAGTATATATTTTTTGTGTTTTTTCTCTGATGTCTTCAATTTTATTAGGCACCACATGTTACAAGAAAGCGGAGAGTGCTTGCCTGTTCAGCAGCCACAGGTTTCCTGAGGACTCTTCTGGCATTAAGATGATGACGTGTGGCCAGCGCTCGTGCCTTGACTTCATAGCGGCTGTACTTGCAGGAGTGGGAGACGCTGCATTGACGACCTTCCTCTTTGCCCTCTTGCTCGGTACAGGAATGAAAGTTTCGTCAGATGAGTCGTCTTCCGAAGCGGCTGAGTAGAGCTCTGTGTCCTCGGTGTCACTGAGTGAGGTTGCTCTCTTCCTCGCGGTGGTCAGCCGAGATGGCTGCTGGCCAGGCGGTCCTCTGGAATGCCCCGCATTCATTGCCGCAAGGCTAGAAACCTCATCGTTATAGTGACAGGTAGCAGAAATCACGGCCACGTGGTGAGAAAGAGCGGAGAACGTATTGAGACATAACACAGTTGCTTCACCTAAACAAATTTGCAAGTGCAACCGATTCAAATTCCCTATGCATACAAAGAACACACTCATTCTGTGAAAACCTATATTCTGCTACATCAGTAATAATCCAAAAACACAATGGACAAGGTTTATCTAACTTACAGAACGTGTCGCTTACATGTCTTCCTTTTTTTCTGCTTATTAGTTACGTACATAACTCAGTATTGACTGCTGAGTATTGACTGTTCACGTGAGCAGTCAATACTGACCAACTACACCAAATCGCCCCCCCCCCAACCATGAACCCACAGGGGAGAGTGGGATGCGGCCCTCCTCAGTTACTTGGACCTTCAGGCCCAAATAGCCTTCGTCCGTAGGGCCTAACTAGCGGCTGATATTAATGGGGGCCCAGAATATGGACTCCTCTCATTTTGGAGCACCTTAAAGGCTGCACTTCTCTTTTGTTTTCAAATAAATACCGTTAATCAATCAATCAGTCGATCATTCAAACAATTTTATTGACATCCTGCAATGCTGCATAAATATCAAGTCTGTATAATTGGTCTTAAGGTTATGTAACGTAAGCACACCTTTAAGACATGTTTCCGAGTACTTGCATCTGTTCGTTGCGAGGTGATGCACTTTCATATTCTGTAGTAGTAATCGCGCACATCCGAGCAGTCGAGCGTGGTGGAGTTATTGATCACCCAATAAATATCAAATTTCCTGAAATGCTCACTAGGACACGTTGTCTGGAACAGTTTTCTAAGCTACAAGTGCTGTAATCAATGTGTGATTAACAGGCGACCTCCCTGGAGTCAGCGCTTCAACAAGTAATCTTGTCTAAGGCTGCCTTGAAGAAGACCGAATAACACATTCCGACATGTTAGCTCTAGCTGCACAGCTGTTCAATGAGTTGTCATCTTTCTAAGCTTCCATCTTCTCTTGAGCTGCTGCTGCATTTGGTTATGCTGAATTACTATGTACTTTATGCTTAGCTTTATATTTTTTTCTGATACACGTGTGCTGTATTAGGACTTCTAATAGTAATGTAATTTTCTCTAACAATTTCTATTTGTAATTTAATTCTAACGCAGCAACATAAGGCAAATGACACCTTTGGGAATTACATTAGGAAACGTGAATGACCTTGACGAAACCTGCCTTTGATAGACACATATAAGCTTCGCCATTGGAATTGCTGTTTCTACTCCCACACGGTTCACCGTAGCCACAAAGACTACGACGACGAATGTTCCATAAAAGCACTCTGAACCTAACTTTACGCGGTGTCAAACACGCACATCAAAGATGAATTTGTAAACTAAATTTAACTTCCCGCTAGAACAAGCACGCTAGAACTCATGTGTCTCGGTTATAATATCGCGACGAACATCGTCAACTTTAATTGAATGCGGTGCCTCTATCAAAATCTCGCTACGTGGACAGTGACCGATAGACAGAACAGAATGGAAAGGAGCCAGTTTGTTGTATATAGTTTTAACTTTTGCACTTGACAACGAAACAAAACGGACGACAAAGGAAAGAAACGGGAGAGCGCTAGCGCGAACTAGGAACTGTTTATTTTGATATAGTGATCGAAGATATTATATCTCTTGATGTGTTTCTTGCACGTGTCAGTGTTCTCTTTTTTTCGCCTCTTTCTGAGAGATATAAACATATTGTCACGATTCCGTAAAAACAGACAAATGTTAGTTGGCCTTCTTGATGTGCCACTTTGTTTTTTCTACGTCAATTTTGTTTTGTTTTTTTTTCAGAGCGCAAAAGTTTACACGTTACACAGAAGACGCAATTTCATTAACTTCGAGGTGTTTTGGGGTAATCGCAATATTATTGGAGTGCCTCAAATGCTAATAGCGTTGAAAATATTGTTTTAATTCAGTGTTTGAAGACGGAAATTCGGGGTTGTGAGACTACGTTTTTCTATAAAATTAAACGGAGAGATTTATCGGGCGGAAGCAGTAACTGTATTTCCGCTGAAGTTCTTATCTTGATGTGAGCCGTTGACGGGGCTGTACACTTTGATAGAGCTCTCACCCGAAAGATTGACGAAACCACAGTAGGCACCCAATGGCATCGCGGCCTGAGCCCTTGTAGCGTGATACGTGGTCATCATTGAAGTGAAGAAAAGGCCACCGCAGCGGAAAAACGATGAAAACAGCAAATTCACCAAGAAGCAAAGAATGGCGACGAACCAGCTGTGCCAGCTGTCAGGTCCCATTTGGGATTCACTTGGCAAATGGCCGGACGACACCATCGCAGAATTTGTTTCCTCTGTAGCTTCATTTCCTAGTTTCTGCGAGGAACAAAAGCGTAGCATGTACACTGACTCTGTAGCATGCACTGGTAGCACGCTCAGCGGCCGCGAAAGTTCGTCGCGCAATGTGCAGGAGTGTTATCTGCATGCACGCCACGCAACAAGATAGACGACAGTGTGGACTTTAGCGATAAGAGCAACGCAGGGATCCCACTATGCACTTACGTTCTCCGCAACGATGGTCAGGTTTTGTTGGCACAGCAGAACGGCTGCATAATTACCGCGGTACTATCTCAGTTTCTTACCTGAATCTACTGCGGCATCACTAAGGTCGGGGTATAAGTACGCCCGCCTCGGCACTCAAGGAAACTTGGGCACTTTGAAGCTAACCATTCTTGGGAAGGGGTATTAAGATCGGCCGTATCCTTACTATGACTTGCCAAGAAAGCTTTTCAACACGATGAAAAATGGCCCTAGAAAACAAATTCAGCGTACTATAATGGCATTGCCATCTGCACTTGGCTTCTTTAGCTTAGTGCCTCCACTTGGCTTCCTTCCTATCTTAGCGCGTGCACTTGGCAATGTCCAAGAGTAATGCTTATCAGCGATATGATTATCATGATATCCATTCACCTTGATTCTGAAGAGGCTGTGACTGTTTTGTACACGTGTTGCCTGGAGGAGATGTCTGCATGGGTTCTGTATAACAGAAAGCAGCTATATTTGCATGCACTTGAAGCTTGACCTATAGAAGAGATGAGAATGCTCCAATTCTTTCCTTATATCGAGAGATTAGTGAGAGCCAACAGACAATGATGCAATGAAAAGTATAGAGATGTTATTAAGAGTAATACTAATATAAGCGTGCAGGAAGAAAATCGGATGAAAAAAAGTTGGCAGGTTTTTTTTTTTTTACGAACTTTTCTTGGTCCCTGCTGGCGGCAACTTATCTTTACATACATGGGCTGCTACCCTTTCATATTGCATGCATGTTGCGCTGCTTTTATTGCTGCTTCCTTCGTAGGGTAGATGGCTTTTCGAGCTGGTCATTTCTTGCAGCTCCTCTTTCTTTTGTTTGCATTGCTATGAAATAATAGCGCGGTGATTGTTTCTTCCAAAGGGGGTAATAGTGTATTGAGGTAATATTGGCTGCGTAGTCCCTCATCACCATGCTCTAGTAGTAAAAGTGCTAGAGTGCTTACCTAAATATCCAAGGACGAAATCCGGCCCATGGTGGTTTAGCTTTGCGAGGGCTGCCCGATCAGCTAGAGGTGCACTTTAAGGAAACCAAGAAGGTCGAAGTTTCAAGCGTCCTCCACTACCATGTCCCTCATTATCATATCGTGCGTTTCGAACATGAATACTCGAAAATTATGATAATTTTACCTAGTCTCTAATCAAACTCTCATTTTAACCTAAACCCTGTTTGTAAATCTCCAGGTCTCTCCTTTGTAACTAAAGGCCGGCAAGATGCAGCTGTTATATACCTTGCTCTTGAAGGATACTGGTAATCTACCTATCAAAATTCGAGAGTTCTTGCCAAATCTGCTCGACGCCGTTCTTATTGTTCTAGTTACTTCAATCTCGTGGTTCGGCTCCATGGTTATTGCCTGTCCTAGGTAGGCATAGTCTTTTACAGTGTTTAGTGCATTATTACCTACATCAGCAAGCAATGGAAAGATCCACTCTGCTCTCTTATTGTTTCTTAAGGTGTAACCCTAAGAAACAATAAGAGAGCAGAGTCGATTAGAGAACAAACCGGGGTTAAGAATATTATAGTTGAAATCAAGAAGAAAAAATGGACATGGGCCGGGCATGTTGCGCGTAGGCAGGATAGCTGCTGGTAATTATGGGTAACTAGCTGGATTCCCAAAGAAGGCAAGCTGTTAAGGGGAGACAGGAAGTTAGATGGACAGATGAGGTTAAGAAGTTTGTGAGTATAAAATGGCAGCAGCAAGCACAGGACCGAGTTGACTGGTGGAACATGGGAGAGGCGTTTGTCCTGTACTGGATGTAGTTAGGATGATGATGATGATGATGATGATGATGTAGATGATGATTTAAACTCCCCATTTTTTTCAAAACAGATGATCAGTTTTGTTAGCACGACGTGTTGTAAAATTGAGAAAAATCTTTGAAGCCTTGCATCATACACGCGACAGCTCTTGGCGTTCCCCTGTATGCGTGTGTACGTGAGTCCCAGGAGCCTTCAAACAAGCCTCTTTCCATTGATCAGCGAAAGTCTGTGCCACTGCCTGGAAATGGTGGTCTAATGGCTAAGGTACTCGGCTGCTGACCCGCAGGTCGCGGGATCGAATACCGGCTGCAGCAGCTGCTTTTTCGATGGAGACGAAAATGCTGTAGGCTCGTGTGCTCAGATTAGGGTGCACGTTGAAGAAACTCAGGTGGTCGAAATTTCCGGAGCCCTCCACTACGGCGTCTTTTTTAACCATACGGTAGTTTTGGGACGTAAAATCCTACATATCAATCGAAGTCTGTGCCACTAAGCTAAAACTGGAGGCACCATATTGTTGTCAGCCAGTTCGGAGAAGAGGAAGGAAAAAAGGCGAGGCATGAGAGTCAACGGGACATGCGCCTGGTTTGCTCCTCTTCCCTCGAAGAATTGCATTAAGGTATGAATGGAGAAAAGTGGTTAGTGAGTAATATGCTCGCAAAGTTAATCAACACACTGCGCTCCAAGAAGGTGGAAAAAGTGTGTCTCATGCATGGTGTAGTAGAAGCCCCTACGTTGGGCTCTTAAACTACAGGGATGAACATTTGATTTGAGTATATATATGAAAAGTGTAATTAGGTGCAGGACGTAAGGCGTATCACGTTGTACTGTGAAAATTTATGCGTGTAGGACCTCATTACTAAACCAAAGCGTTAGACTAGCCATGGTGTCCATTGAAGGTCTTCCATTCGTTATTCTTAGGGAGCTGACGGAGATAGGAGCTCGCCACTCGGCACGCGAGGCCTCTTTAAAGATCAGCGAAGCGCTACGTTGTCATCGTATAAGCATAGCATTTAGAAAAGTCATCTGGAATTTTTACATTGCATAAATTTAGTATAAGAAAGTCTGCCTTTCCCGAAACAGACCCCGTTAGTCTTGACACCAGAAGTCCTTTGACATAGCTACAAAAAAAAAACGAAAAAAGAATCGTGTGGCAGTTTCACCTTGAACTTTCTGCACAAAGTCAGCATGATGACGCAGACTGTCACGTCGACGTGATAAGTCTATGTGCTTTTAAATAATGATAATATTAATAATAATAATAATTATTATTATAATAATAATAATAATAACTCTGACTGTCGTGCCACAAAAGCATCATATGCACATGAAGCACACATCCCCACAACGGTCCGGCTGATTTCTGACCCATTGGGTTCCTTAAGAAGCACTCTTAGTGCAGAATGCACACGTTTCTGGCATTTCGCCTCCATTTAAATCAGACTACCACGGCTGGTACAAGAACAGAACCGCAATTACTGCGCGACTTTGGTGGCATCGTTTTTCATACTATAATGTATCCTAAGGCAGCTACACAGTGAGCGGGAACTTCTACAAGTGAATGCGGCTGAAATACCAAAACATGGGCGGGAACGAATGACGCGACAGCGATATTGATGCTGTCTGCATATCGGCGCCTAGCTCAGGAAAAATACTGTCATCTTCTTCCTCTCATCCAGAGCAAAATTTATTGTTGGGATGATGTCAGGGCTCGTTACTGAAGACCAGTTGGTTGAAATTTCCAAAGCCCTCAATACCACGTTCTTCAGAATTATGTCTTCGGTTTAGGACTTAAGGCCCCGGATAATTGTATTAGTGTTAAACTTAAGTGTCTGTTTAAAGATGTGCACGTAACCTTGCTCGTTCGCATGTTGTATTATTCGTCAGGCCAACGTCACACATGGGCAGTGTCGCCAAAAGCTCTGCTCTAATTCTAAAATGACACTCAAAGCACAAATATTGAACGCTCACCGACTCTCTGAACATGACGGTCTGGAGCCTTCGACTCGTTTGCACCAGTATCGCGCCGCTGCGCCGGGGACGGTCTCTCACGCACCGCCCGTGGCGAACCATCAGGCCATCGCATTTCTGCAGACGTGCTTCTGTAGCGAGGCCCCCCTGCCGGATAAGCCTCGTGAACACGCTTGGAGGCTTAGTTGTCTTGCAATATGTGCGTTTTTTTCTCTCTCTCTTGAAAAATAAACTCGAAGGGAATATGCCGAACATAAACTGAAGAAACACCGAAGTCCTACCGCATTTCTCAAGTTCTCTTGAGACTGGAGTTTTTTTTTTTTTTAATACTTCGTGTCATGCCTCATTGCATATCAAAAGTTGTATGTAATATGTTTTGAATCGCTACGCGAGCATGATGTCCTTTACCTCCATTTGGCAAAACCCCTAATTGCAGCGGCCAAATTTGTTCCATTATTTAGTCTACCGCGCAACGCAATGTGTACACTTATGCGAGTGCCGGGCGCGGTTTTCCTTAAAGGCACGTGCATGCCATGAATATAGAAGCACGCCTACTTTAAATGCGCCACTAAGTGAATGTTTAGGCAACCGTCGTAATAAAAACTGCACACTTCGTTACGCAACGCTGTTAGGATACGGAAACATCGACGCACATAAGCTGTACGAGCTGATACTGCAAGCAGAGGGGAGGGAATACTTGAAGGCATCGGATGCACTCGTCACAATGAATAGAATACATATACAAAATGTTTCGAAACAATCCGCACTTCGCGATCTTGACTTTGTTTTTATATTCTGCGTTGTGCATTCGCGTCCGATGTTTATGCTCATGCACCACATATGTCACATTGAATGCGCCATTTGCAAGTTGTGCTCGTCATACAGCTAATACTGCTACCAAATTGCCGATAGCGTTTCACAAGTACTGCACACTTCATACCACCGTGATGTCACGTCAGTCACGTCTCAACGATTTAGCCAGCACTTAATGTTAAAAAACATCGTAAGCCCTATGCCTCCCATGTATTTTAAGCCGTGTTTAGGGCCCATTTTTTCAGGAATTACTACGTGGAAAAATTTCGAGTCATTTTCATTTTGTTTCTTGGTAATTCTTCTTGCAGCTGAAGTACAGTTACACTTGCCTTCCTGACACTTTTTTGCATTTTTAAGGGAATCAATCTTTTTTCATTATTTTTTAAGTGGCACTGTCAGAAAACGACAAGTATTGCGCATACATACACCATTCCAGTTCAGAAACTTTGTATTGGTCATCGCTTCATTTCATCAGAAATCAACCTTCTACATTTTCACGTTGTTTTGATAACAAAAAACAATTGTGACAAAAACAAGTTTATTTCAAGATATATTAGGTTAAAGTTGAAAAGCTAGTTTATTTGAACTTTAGCCTAGGACGAAGACGTGCTGAACAATTCTAATAATAGCGGCATGCACAATAGTCATCGCACTGATTAGCTTTTCTCTACTGATATTATTTTCTTGCTTTGCTGATTTGTTATTTATATACTTTTTGTGTCTGTTGGCCAAACTCTGTGGATGGCAATGACATTCGATGCCACCTAACCATATCGCAGTGTTGCACCTCGGTTAACTGCTAAACGACATAAAAACAGTATACTAGAGCCACACATGCCTTCCAAAACTTATAACGGTTTCAAACGTACAATTTCTGAGGGTTTTCTTTTCGAAGAAGCCGATCCATTGTGTTCTCC